TTGTTTACATCAGTTACTGATTCTAGAGACGCGTTATTCTTTATTGTTACAACTGAATTTCTAAAAATAAATTATTGAGACGCGTTATTATTTAACTATTGAGAGACGCGTTATTATATCTAAAAATAAATCATTGACTGACGCGTTATTATTTAACTCATCATAATTACTGATTTCTTAAATAAACTATTGAGAGATACGTTATTATATCTAAAAATAAATCATTGACAGACGCGTTATAATTTATTGCTACAAACTCTGATTTTTAAAAATTATTGACACGTAAATGAAAAAGTTTTAAGGAAAACTCTTAATTTTTTATTTTATAAGAAAGGTAAAGTTAAAAATGAGAATATTTATTAAATTTATTGCATAAAATAGAAATATGCTGATATATCGAAATCTTATTCCGTTTGAAAAACTTTGGTAAGATACGCATAATCTTTATCGGGAAATTTATGGATTTTTTTAAAAGTTGCTAGCCCCGTTCTCTTTTCTCCTTTATTTTTTATCTTTATCTTTTTTTGTCAACCAGGATTACGAAAATTAACGAATTTATATAATGAACTTGTGATTTTACATATTTCTTAATATATAGTATTCATCTTTGAACCGAGAAGTTTCAACAGGAATTAAACTTCAACCTGCTTGAAAATTTTTTTTTTTTTTTTTAAAAAAAAGGACTTTGTGGCATTTAATTAGGAAAACATGGATTATTTTTATAAACCTCTATATTCATCAGCAGATTCAACGATACCACCAGTACCACCTCACCGTCAAATGCACCATTAAATCAATTACCGCCAAAATTTAACGCAATATTACAAACAATTTATATCCATATTAAATCAAACGCAGTTTAACCCAAATAACCTAAGGTGAAGACCTATGTGAAACTGCCCTGACGTTATAAATTACTCGGTTGGATTGCCAAATGTTAACATTGGACTACGGTGAATCGGTATTAAGCTTCTTCGTTGGGAAATATTGAAGTTGTTAAAATCTTGATGAATGCTAATGCTAGCGTTGAAAGTTGTAATAGGGAAAATGTAACCTCTCTTATCATTGCGGCTTATAATGGTCAAGCTGATGTTTGTTGTGAACTTACCGATCACAGTTAAGCCAATGTGAATTTTCAAGATAGTTCTTATAAAACCGCTTTATTATAGGCTTCTTATGAAGGCTACGTTGAACCGCTAAAGTGTTACTAGCTCGAAGTGCAAGTGTGTACATTCAAACAAGGTGCGATCTCAATTTCTTTGTCTTTATTTGTGATCTTTATTAATTTCTCTTATTCTTTAAAATAAAAAAAATTAAATGTATTGACGGACCGTGTTAATGCTCGCTGCTTTTTCTAACTGTGTAGAAATGTGTCAGTTGTTGTTGGTGCATGATGCAGACAGATCCTTACGACGTTGGACATTTTGACTTGGCAAAAATAATCGAGAATAACGTTCCGAGCGGGAAAAAAAATAACAATTATTATAATCATAATTATATTATTAATTATAATAATAAACTAATTCTGCCTTCCCACACCCATACCTCATCGTTCGAGTGGAATATCCTTTCAAGGAGTACCAGGGAGGTTTCTTACAATGATACAACACCCAATTGAACCGAATATTTTGATTCAAAACATTTATCCAGAGATTCTAATCAATAATACAAAAGGATATTTGATGCCATTAAATCGTAAAGATTCAAGACGTACAATAATTCAACGTAAGAATACAGATCTTGTTAATTCTCAATATTGGCATAATATTACGAGAACAATAATACAGACGATGAGAAAAATCATGTAAAGACAGCACCACATTTAACTACTTCAGTATTATTTTCATTGGCAGTCAGGCATGTTTTTGTAATCCTTGCCTTTTCACCATTGGTAAGATGAAGATCCCAATGTCGTCAAGCTTGGCGTGAAAAAGTGGCTTTGGTAGTTATTATATTATTAATTTCATCATTCATGGGATTTTTGGCATTCGGGTTGGCAACCATCGCTTGTGGAATAAGGAAACAAACATTTTTTAAGGAAGATGTATTTGAAAATTTTGAATCGGGTCATATTCATGGCATACTCTATAAAACTGGACAACATATTATTTTTGGTAATCGTCGTCCGTTAACGCCTCCTATCGAAGATAAAAAATTAGAACCAATAATATTTCTAACGTTTGGACTAGATATCTCGGATTATTTTCCTCTAGACCAATGTCCTTTT